AGTCCACGGGAAATTGTCTATCACAGCGTCTGGCATGCAATAAGTGGTCAATGTATTCTTATTTTCTTCCAGCCTAAATTAAAATTATGGTGCTATTTGGAGGGAAAAGATGACTCTTTAAGACACATCCCCTACCCTGCTACTTGCCTGGAACATGTTGACACACAACTCACTAGGTAATGAGGTATGGAATTGCAGAAGGCCCGTGAATGATGGCACAAAAACCTGATTTAGACCAATTCAACTCTTTTCAGAACAGGAGTCCCAGGTGACCAAACTGCCCTTGCATTACAGAAAGCACACCATAAAATGGGAGAGACCCAGGACATGAGCGAACTACCTTTTTTTGTAGCCAACTACATGAAAGGTCATTGTTCTGTGCTAACTTGAAAAGAACAAGTGCATTTTTTAACATGGGCTGTCCAAACTCAATTTTAGAGGTAGGAAGTCTTCAAAAACTATAGTCAAGTCCTCTACTTTACAGATGAGAAAACTGTTGTCCAAAAAGTTTCTTTCGGTAAATATATTTTGAACATTTATTGTGAGATATTACTTAGATATGTGACTATGTATCTCCTCAAACCAACACAATACTTAACACATATTATATATTTCCTTAAGAAATTTCTTAATGAGTGAGTTAACGAATGAATGAATGAATTCAGAGACTTACCCAAGGTCCCAAATTGGAAACTAGAGGAAGTAGAACTAGGGCCCTCATTTCCTGACTTCCTGCTAAATACTTCTGCATGAGACCAGACATGCATGAAAATAGCTAGAAAAACTCAGGCAGGTGTTTTAGATCAGCCTTCAGATGACTGATTTAAGCCCATCCGGGGAACATAAATGTGGCACTCTGGCACCTTATGAAGATGTTCAGTTTTTCCAGTGTCTCTCAATCAATCCCTTCCTAGCAATGACGTTGACCCTACTAATGCCTTATATAAAAGGGCCTTTACCTCCATTAACCCCTTAGAGAGTTCCCACTTCACAGGGCGTCTTCGTTTTGGAGTCAAGGTATAAAGAATCCTTGGAACCAGGATTTTATCAATCAGCCAGTACTAAGTGTTGTACGGTGGATTAGTGCGTGAAGAATTCTCTCATTTACTCTTGAAGGACAAGAAAGAGAGGCAGAATGTCATTATTTAGAGATATTCTGGCCTGCCCCATGATGCCCAGAGAGCACTAAGTGTCTAAAATCCATTTCTAAGCAAATTTCCCTTCTAGGTATAGATACCCTGTTATTTGCCAATCATGACTATGAAGGCTTTTCAGACACTATTCAGCCTTTCTCAACCCAGGTTTTTTATCTCAACTATGAAACACAGAAAATTATTTGGGGCAACTGTCTTCTCAGTTCTCCCAAAGATGGAACACAACCTGGACCATCCTATATTTTTAGGAGAGAAAGCGATCCATGCAAGGATGCTATAGGGCATTACAACTTAATCTTCTCAGGAAACCCTGGCTGAGAAACATGCTAGAGTAATCCAGTATCCCTACAAGTTATGAACATGTCACAATTGTTCTTACTACACACACACACACATTTCCAAATAAGTTGTCCTCTTTTTATGAGCTCTTAACAATGAAAGGGGCTGCATTGCCACCAAAATTTTGTCAGAGGAAAAGATTCATTTGTATTCATGTTATAAAAAGACTTTTTTTTTATTTGGAAAACATAACAGGAAGATCAGCAAATCTTTTGTAGATATGCAAATTGTAACTCCAACAAAAATAGACTGCTGGTATGTTTGTTACAAAGAATATTAAACGGATTTTGTAGGCAAGTTAGACCAAAATGCATTCCTCTAAAGTATTTGGGAAGTTATTTCCAACTTTGTAGTTAATCAACAAATAGTTTCAGATCCTCATTCTCTTAGATGCTTGGGAGAAAGCAAAGACACTTCACATATTTTACCAACAGATTGCTGATTTTTTTTTCTTTCTCTTTCCTTGCATTGATTTAAATCTCCTGTGTAAAACAAAAGTCAATGATCTATCTCATATCATTTCATTTTGATCATTAGTTTACAGTTGGAAAATTACCTTACAGAATGCCTGCTATGAACCAGGCATGATGCTAGGTACTTTGCACATATAATCTCAACTAATCCCCATGAAGTCAATGGTTTTATCATATGAGATTTAGAAAGTGAGACAGATTCACACAGCCATTGGCAGAACTGGGATTTAAACAGATTTCTATGATTCGTGTGTTCAGAATTATTCCAGGGGCCGGCCCGGTGGCACACTCGGTAGAGTGCGGTGCTTGGGAGCGCGGTGGTGCTCCCGCTGAGGGTTCGGATCCCATATAGAGACCGGTCCGCTTACTGGTTGAGCGCGGTGCGGGCGCGACACCGAGGGTTGCGATCCTGTTACCGGTCACGAAAAAAGACAAAAAGGAAAAAAAAAAAAAAGAATTATTCCAGGATTCAGCACATCTTCCTCCAACGATGACTGAAAAATATGTCAGGACATTTTACTTATTATTTGGCAGACAAACTCTCTGCCAAAATATGACCGCCTTTTAATTTGCCTTTACATAAGATCAAAAGAAAGGGGGATCAGGAAGGTGAAGAAATGAAAATTCGTGAGTGATACTGCAAATGTGACCCTTTTGCCATGACTGGTTCAGATGTACAGTATCTCAAAATGCTGTTGATCTATGTTTCACAAGGAAAGAAGGTCAAAGTGAGAAGACTGGAGCATCACTGTTCTTAGAATACAATAATGGAAGAAACAGAATACAGAATAGAGAATATGTCATATAGAACATAGTCAAATGACTTAACTGGCATCTTTTATTCTCAGGTTGTGGTGAACACATCAGCTTGGCCCAGAATCCTTTTCATTCCTTTATTCATTTGAAAATTTCACTTTCATCAATAGTCTTTAAGTAGGCTCCTAGGAATTAAAAAATGTAGACTTGTGTCTCAGCCAGCATAAATATCTGGGGTTTGCTATCACACATAATATGATAGTTTAACCTCTAGAAAAATTCACTGTCCCCCATCTCTATGGAACTGCTTTGTGTCTTTCCCCTCCTTCGCATGGAGTCTTGCAGGAGCTGCTGTCAGAGAGGAGAGAAGAGTAGCAAAAGCATTTTCTTCTGTCCAAAAGCACAATGCAGAGGCACTTTACGAACAGGAAGAAGTCTTTCTGCTAAGCCAATTTCAACACAGCATTAATATTAATTAATTTGCACTCTGCTATAGAATAAATGTTTTATGATCAAAAATGAATAGCAACAAAGTGGGAATTTCAACCACAAGCAACCTACTCTCTCAGTGATGAAGATCTCAGGATGAGGTTATCAAACCACTGTCCACATCTGTGGGGGGACTCTCATTCACTCATCTACACAAAGGAATAATTGATTACTGTTCCGTGTGATTACTAGAGGCACTAATCAAAAAGTTATGGGATTCCTTTATCAATAAGAGCCAACAAAAATGTAGCTATGAATTAATGTTTTATTAATGCTCCATTAACTAATGGGGCATAAATTAATGGAGCTTAAGGCTGTTTCAAAAGCTCAAAATTATATACACGTTTTAAATTTAAATTAGATCAATTCCCAAACAATTCAGAAAAGAGAGAATTTTTGAACAAAATTATTCCTGTTTCAAGTTTGCCTGTTCATTCATTCACTGTTTATTGAGTACATTTTATTTGCCTGGCACATAGAAATGTGGGGTTTTGAATCAACAATCAAGGTCTAAAAAATGGCTTACGTGAGATCTTCACTATTGAAGACTGCCCTTATTAAATCACTTTGTAATTCCTTTAACAGACAGCTCAGTCTTACTACAGCTTTTCATGATGAGTTATTACATACTGAAAAAAACAAGAGCATCTCAACTCTATAATTAATGTACACACTGCACAAAGGCACAGAACTAAAAACCCAGTAGCATTTACTTTTGTCTTGTCAGTTTCGATGATTCAGTACAGTGTACTGAGCTGTACTGAGACCATATAACAATGAGCCTGCCGAATGTTCCCTTTTCACAGTTTTGAGTGGAGTTCCCACCTAAATATTTTAGGAGATTTCCAACACAACATCTGTGTTTCCGTTAGGCCTAAGCAGTGTGGGGAAAAGGAACAAGCATAGATTTTGGAATCAGTCAGACCTAGATATGAGTCCTGGTTGTGTGTGTAGTAAACTCTTGGAAAATTTACTTTACCTCTTCATTTCTCAGTTTCTTCATCTGCAAAATGAACATAACAGCATCTATCTTGCAGGATTGCTGCCAGGAATATAGGCAATGTATATAAGGCAATGAGTTCACAATACGGATTGATTTTCTTTTTGTATCAAAAATCCGAAAGACCCCATTGCTCTATTGTAGGTAAAGTAATTTGTTAAAATAACAACAACAAAAAAGGTAGAATAAGACAGAAGTGCACATTTTGGGCCTGATTCATATTTATCTCATGAGACAGTTATTTCACATTCAAGATCTCCACTCGAATAGGGTGTCTAATAAAAACAGAGTTGATTTTAAATAGCAGATCTTCGAATTACTAAATGGGATTGACAAAAAAAATCACATTGCTCCCTTCCCCACCCCCACCGTTCTCCAGAATCATGATTGTTCTGCTGTGCCTATTAAAGTATGGGCATGATCGAGAAGGAAAAGAAACAAAATAACTAAACTTAAAAATTATTTTTGGTTGATTAGCAAATAAAAGATCAACTTCAAAATAAAACAATTGTTGGCATGCCAGTGTTTTAGTGCAATGAAAGCACAAAGTCTAGTTTTTGTATAAATTCAAAAAATAATTAATACTCCTTTAAGTATAGTCTTGCTTTGAATGGAATGTTTATCATAAATCATGCTTCTTGCCAACACAATACTAGAAAAATGATATAGACTGTACTTCCACTGCACTGAGGAGCTGATTTTCTTTCTTTCCTTCTTTCACCTCTATATTCCCTTTCTATCTTGTTTTCTTTTCTCTGATTTGTGCCCCTTCCTTTTGATACCCTGCAGGTTGTCCGGCCATACCAGACCATGTCCAACCCCATGAGCAAGCTCACTGTTCTCAACAGCATGCACTCCCATTTCATTCTGGCCGACAATGGGACCACGGGCAAATATGGAGCAGAGGTGAAACTTCGGAGACAGCTGGAAAAGCACATTTCACTCCAGAAGATAAACACAAGTAAGTAATGCATCGTTCCCATGGTCATGCCTCACAGGAAGTACATAGAAAATCAATAAACTTAAGTACACCATGCAGCAATACTATAAAACATTGAGCAAGTTTCAAATACAGACCATTATTTCTACTGGGCCTGTGGTTAGAATGAGAGGAAGTCTTGCAGAGGAGGATGATTGGAGGTGGAAGAACTGATTACACAATTAGTGGACACAAGCTCATTAATCACATGTGAAAAATTCAACCCTGTCTGGGATTTGTGAATGCAAATAAGCTTTCTTCTCCAAACTTTTTTTTTTTTTTACATCCTTTACACAATAAACTAAGGAGTACACAGCACCCTAGAGAAATTATATGTATTTATTCAGCTTTTTTGGTGGCTAAAAAAAGAAAAACAGGTTTTGATCTTAGCACAGATCTGGCTGTGGGAAGGCATTTCAAGGGAACTAAACATTCTCCCAGATAAAGCATTACATGAAACCATCTTGAAATTTTAACTGTCTCTTAATTTTATGTGTGTATTTCATTGCTGTAGATGTATGTGTATACTTACGTGCACTACATAACCGTATTCGATAGTTACATTAACGTTATCTTTTAAGTACTTATGTGCTCTATGCTGTATTTATTGTGTAAACATTTGTTTTAACTATAAAAATTTAGCATTGTAAAAACAGCAAGGCTCTCCAGATCACTAAATGGCTTGCATTTAAATATGATTGAGGTAGGAAAACAGTCTACTGTCTCTCCTTACAAAATAAAATCCAATTTGTTTTCACAAAGTAACAGGTGAGGTTTCCTGACAGGCTCAAACTTTGGGGTAATTGTGTGCCCCATCAGGGAAACTTTGATCTAATTGATCAAAATTCCAAAGCCTCCAATTCCAAATAACAAAAGCTTCTCTTTGGTTAGATTAGTTTTCAAAAGTTCAGTGTAATGTGATTCAACTTGTCCAAATCCCTTCTCTCTTCTCTGATCTTTTCTCTATGTCTGTCCTAAATGGGGCTTCGTTGCCATAACCACCTTAACCATGTTGGACCTAGCAGACCACAACCTCTTCCTATACTCTCTTGTCTGGTTCTTTTAGCCACTTAAACTACTGTTTAAGCGGCCAAATTTCATACTTTCATCTTTTTCACAGTGAAATCTGAAATAAAAACTTCAGCTTATATTTGAAGTAAAAATTGTATTAGGAAATTCCTTTCCCCAACTGTCTTTGGAAAGAAGAAACACAGTATTATCCCAAGGTGAACATCTGCTAGAAAAAAAATAGTAGAAAAGACGAGAAAACTGATCCAGAGACCAGAAGAGATCAAATGTAACAAAGCACTTATCAACAAATGGTAGGTTTTGCTGTAGATACTAAAGCTGAATTTCATCCAGATATTTGATAGAACAGGCAAATGTTATGTAATTAGTGTTAGCTATTTAGGTTTTTGTAGGCTATTGCATTACATTTGTTATGCCATCAGGTTAAGAATGAGAGCTTAAATAGGAGGATGCTGGAAGCTGAAGGAGATGGAAGCAGGGAGATGAGGAATAAATTCAGGGTCAAGTTCAATATTCAGTAATGAGACAAAATCTGTCCAGACAGGCAAAGCTTGTCCTCGTGCCAGGCCCTGGTGGCAGCTGGGCCCGTTAGTCAGTGGTGTGGAGAGCAGAGCTGGGTGTGTCATGTGTTAAGTTACACACCCAGCAGAGGGGATGCGAGCAGGACTTAAAGGCAGCCAGGGCTCGGTTATCAAGCCTTGTGCCTCACAGGCTGCCCAAAGGAAAGGGCGCCTTTTCTAGTTGGCCATGCCAGAGGGGTCCCCTTTTATAATTTATGTGCCTGGAGGGGTGGCTCTTTTGGGAGCTCACAGAGGTCCTGTATGTGTGGGTGGCCCTACAGGGGAGGCCCAGGGAGGCTCAGTGAGGAGCAGATCCCAGCGGCATGGAGCTGAAGAGATTTCCACAACAAAGGGTGGGAGGGCAGAGGTGCTGGAGGAGCCAGACGCTAGTCGTTGGGGATATCATCAAGGACACGTCACACCCCATTCGTGGAGACATGGGGCCCTTGCTAGATTATCAAGGCAGGCAGCAGCACATGGGCACATTAACAAGTAGAAACCCAATAGGGGTCTAGGGTACAAAGTAGGGGAGAGAAGCCAAGTACCAGGGGACTTGGGGGACTGTATTTGAGGCTTCATGGAAACCCACAAGATCCTATTCAGTGAATATAATTAAATGGGAAGAGGAGGGTTACAGAAGTCCAGCAGAGACCCCTGAGGTTGCAGAATGTAAAATGTCTCAGTGTTGGGAATTTGCCCTTGAGCTGAAGTGAATGATATCAGGATTTAGCTCCTACACCAGTTCTATCCCTGAACTTAATAAAGGAATGATCACCAACTCATTCTGGTTTGCCCGGGACTTTCTCAGGTTTAGCACTGAAAGTCCCATATCCCTGAGTCCCCTTGGTCCCTGGCAAACCGAGATGAATGGTCACCCTACAGTGAGTGACTCTTAAGCCATTAGGTCTACTTCCCTTTATCTGTTCTCAGCCCTGAAAGCAGGGACGGAGGACCAAGCTCCTTGGAGTGTAAGGAATGACCCAGGCTTATTGCATAGAGCAGGACCCTGAGGTCTCCATTCAGTTAGCTGCAAAGAAAAGTGAGAACACAGAAGCTTCCAGAGTAGAACTGAGAAAGACAGGCAAAAAGTTGATCTGCTCATAACATGAAACAACAAAAGTAAGAATATAGATCTTTAATGCAATCCCCAGTCAATATTTTAGAACAGCGATGTTACTTTCTAATCTGGACACTATTTTATTCTTTGTATCACAATTAGCAGCAATGTGGTTCTTCCTTTTAGAAATAAAATTATATTCTATATGTTTATCCTAGAAGTTCCATTTACTTTTTCATTTCCTGCTTCAAAAGTTTAGGGAATCTAAAATACAATTGTGGAATCAACTTCCTGAAAATTAAACAGTCTGCCACATTAACACTGTCTACCACCTGTTACATCTAGGATGGCTCAGGGATGTCTGAAAGCACTCAGTGTTTTCCTCATTAAAGTGCCATATGTCTTCATCCTTTAGAGGTCATCTGCATACCGTAGCAACCTATCAGCAAGCCTATTTTCCTATAAAAATGACATAATTTATTCTGAAGAATATTTCCCTTAAATATTAAGCAAATCCTGCTCAGGGAAGCCCATAAACCCTTCCTCATCAACATTGCCAATTATTAATAATAACATATCACAAGCACCACGTGTTTTACCTTTTTCTCAGCACCCTGGCACCAGTTTCATTGTCTCTCCCTTCTGTGAATTCCTCCTTTCAACAGTCAGTAGGAAAGCACTGTCATCAGTTACTGATGCACTTTGGTTACGAAAGAGAAGCCTTTCAGACATGAGCAGTTGCCTGCTTTAGAATGTTCTTCCATCTGCAGTTCTTTAAACTTCAAATTTAATATGCAAGGAAAAATTTCAATGATTCCTTTAATAAGTAAATAATTATTGAACTCTAATTATGTACAGTCATGGTTAAAGTCAAGAATACAATTCATGGAGCTTAAGTCAAGAAAGGCAAAGAGTAATAAGTGAAAAAGTAAACAAGTAAATATATAATGCCCGGTAGTAAAAAGTGCTATTAAGAAAAATAAAGCAGGGTAGGGTATATGTCTGTGTACATGTGTGCATGCACACGTGTGTCTTGGGAGGATAGTCTAGATAAGATGATTAGGAATGGCCTCTAGGAGGAGATGACATTTAAGCAGAGACTTGAATGAAGTGGGGTGGACTGGCTATGGAAAGGGCATTCGAGGGAGAGCAAAAGCCCAGGGTGTTGGAAGCAGAGGAAGGAAAGCTAGCGAAGAGTTGGGTTTTATTCTCGCAGACTTTGGATCCAGCAAAATACAGGCTGTCCTTAAAACTTCACTCTGCTGTTGGGTGTAGAGATTGAGGCAAGGGGCAAGACTAAAAGCCAGAAAATACTTTTAGGAGACCATTGCAATGATGCAGGTGAGAGACAACAGTGGTTTGAATTAGGATGACAGAAGTAGTAGTAAAAAGTGGTTGGATTATAAGTATGTATTATATATAATATATTTTTCATATGTTATATATTATACATATTACTGGAAGGAGGGAGAGAGAGGAAAGAGATTGAATGATCTTTTCTTTAATTGTCTAAAATATACATAACGTGAAATTTACCATTTTAACCATTTTTAAGCTTACAATACAACCACTATTCTACTTCATGTCATTATAAGTTTGCTCATTCTAGGTCTCTCATATAAGTGGAATCGTACAACACTTGTTCTAAGATATATTTTGAAGGTAGAGGTCAAGAGGTCTTGCTAATGAACGGGCGACCAGAGCAAAGAATAAACACATCAAAGCTGCTGTTCAGTCATCCTTCAAGACACCAATGTATTTTTCAAACAGTGGGACTAGATGAGAGCCCCTGAGGAGTAAGTGTTTATAGAAAAGAAAGTGAGTAGAGGACAAGTCTCTAGGGAATTTGAACAAAGTCTTTGAAAAGGTGGAAGGGAATAAGATTTGGTGCACAGATGCAGACCAGGAGGGAAGGCAGAGTATATGGGCATAGACATGGGTAGGATGGAACATTTCCCGTGGGAAGATAGGTGATTCTCTATAGATAGCTTCTATATCTAAATAAAATAATACAGGAGGCCATCGGCTGAAAGTGTAGATGGGGAGAATGTGCTGGAGATTAGAGAGAGAAAAGAACTATAGTTTAGAGTCTGGGAGAGTGAACAGACAAGGAAAATGTAGGATTACCATGCATCCCACTTGCCATTTGTGGTCTCACATTTAAATAGTGTAAATCATCAGGGTTGCATGGGTTTTTTCCAGCCATGTTCAGCTGCAGTTGTAGAATAGGCATAAAGTTGGGATTTTGCCTGCTAAGTAGAAAAGAGGAAGAGAGAGTCCAGGCAGTGAGGCTCATATGTTCTCTATACACCCATATCCAAGACTATCCTCAGTGT